TACAGCAGCACATTACTCATCCAGACCAGGACATCCACTCTGAGAATCTAGTTTATACTTAGTCCGATTGCCATTGCTTACAAGATTATCGTTGTTCTTATTATCACCTGTAATTGGTTTAGACACCTCGTCTGTTGAAAGTCTCCCGTTAGGATATACAGTGACCTCTTTCTCTGGACTCAATCAATCCCCTTATCTAAGCCTCACGAGGCCATCTTTCCAAATCGTGTCTCGATACCCTTATCCCCTGTAGCTCAGTTGGTAGAGCATGGCGCTTGCAACGCCAGGGTTGTGGGTTCGTTTCCCACGGGGGGGGGGGCAAGTATAAAAATGTATGCACTCGCTAACTGTAAGTCGCTCTGGATAAGAGCGTCTGCTAAATGACTAAAATGTAAATGTACATGCAGTTTTTTCAGTACCTGTTCCCCCATTTCTTTCTGCCCTCCCTCTATAGAGCTCATTGTCTGTTCAGAAGGGCATTTCCGGCTGTAGCCAAGTCAGGTGATGATGTGGTCAAGACCTGGACCTTGTTGAAAGGGTTCTCTTGGATACACTAAATAGTTAAATTATTAGCACAGGTCTGGCAGATATTTGACCGTGAATTTACGCCCATGTTTTCTGTGATATCTAGGCCTATTTTTATGGAATTTGACTGTCCATTTCAGCACATTTTCAGTCATTGAAAGCGTTCCAGATATTGCAAACGCAGTAGGCTAGATCCCTGACCTGGTTATGAAGCGTGGATATTATTTGGTCAGCTTGCCTTTTAAGGCTGGAGGTTTTTTTTTGCTATTGAAATGCTCACTCCAGAAGTATTTACAACATTTTAAAACCAAGGAGAAGAGGTGACGGTGCCAGGTTTGTGTGAGCTCTGAGGGAAGGCTTGAGTCTCTTTTTAAATCGTCAGCAAATTGACTTTGTGTGGTCACTCTCTTCTCTCAAACCACTTATTCGAGTGATTGCATAAGCAATAACTCACAATGTTTGACTGACCCAGGGTAATCGTCAGACGTGTTTATGACTAAGTTCCTTCACTTGTTAAAGCTAAGAGCTAATATGTACCGGGTGTGCGACACGTGTTATAGGCCTGAGCCTATTGGACCATCTGGCATGAACCCTGTTCAAACAGGAAAACATTCAGTCGTCCTGAATGGAAGTTTAAAACGTCTTTTAATGTAGGCTAAACGCTAGTTTAATCAGTGTGGTATGAATGGATGGACCTAGTCAGTCAGGAGAGAGCAGGGAAAGGGATGTACGAAGCTACGTAAGACTATTGAGATGCGTCCCAAGAGTACATCTAGTGATATAGTGTATGTTCTGTCCTCCTAGTCCCTGCAGACTGACTGTCCATATACAGGTTTAATACCTTGTTAGGGGGATTCATGGGCAGGAAACTGCTTCCAGCTCCAAGATGCCCGTTGGGAAATTGGGACGAACGTTTACACCCCATTCCCTATTTAGTACACTACTTTGACCATGTATTCACTATATAGGGTGCCGTTTAGGATGCATTCAGGCTTTGGTGGTAGCAGCAGGGTGGTGTTAGAAAATGGATGTGTGGCGCTCAGTCGGGGTCTCAACTTACTGTTGAGAGTTAGAATAATGGAATACACCAGGTGCGTCAGCAGTTTTTCCGCTTATGTCAGTCAGTGGCTAGGTTTCCGTCCAATTGGCGACCGATTTTCATGTGACTGTTCTAAAATCCGCATTAAAAACAGTATGTGCATTTTCCATCAAATGTACTTGTTGCTGATAAAAGGCTGTGTGTAACGACATAGTGCAAGGTTAAATTCCGACGTACCGGAAAAAAAACAAAAAGTTAAATAGGTTTCCATGGCATTTTCAACTCTACTAATGCTTTTGTCACAAAAAAATGTTGCGTTAGATAGCGAATTTTCCCACTGGCACTGACACGTGCGCTCTAGCCAACAGCTCATAGAGACAATGCGGGTATAGCCAACATGATGAGGTTATTATGGACAAAAGAGCAAGATTTATTTTTATTTTTCAAATGGCACCAAGCATCGATCATCATGTAACCAGAATAAGACCCTCTATATTTATTGGAAAGGAGCATCAAGCGCCTCACCTTGTACTTTCACCACCCTGTGAAGTTTGTAACTTATTTCATCTGTAGCCTAATAAACTGCGTAGTGGGAGAACCACACGTCATCGCGTGACTCACAAGTTTACTTCCATATGATTATTATTATATCAATATTTGCGCATAAAAGCTTTTCCTCCGCTTTTTCTTGCATAATACATTTTACCGACACACAGATCCCACCTTGTGTAGTGTATTTTGTTTTGTCGACATTTGGAAAGTTAACAGACAATTTTGCTGTTTCCATCAGGCCTGTTGGATGGAAACTTGGTTATAGACAGTCACTCAATTAGCCCATGGCAGCAAACACGTTTTTGGACTGGTAAGTTAGTCTAGCCAGCTATCTAAACTTGTAGTAATCATGGTCGAATTATAGACGGGGGGCCTCCATTGATTTTGTTAGTCAAAAAAAAAAATAAACTGCAAACATTTCTCTCCACCTTAAGGCAAAATGTTTAGAATTGCAGCAAAGTTGCTTTAAAACTGTAAAATGTTCTCTAAACCCCCATGGCAAAATGTGTAGAATTAATGGAAATTAACTCTAAAATGTCTCTCTGCTGTCAAGAGGGGGCCGCTAAAATGTTTTGCTAGGGTCGGCTCTGACTGCGTGTGTGGGTATACAGACCCGTGAGCTATGCGGCCCCTCATTCGTTTTTTGTGGCCCCCTTCAAAGTTGCCCATCCCGGATATAAACAATCTAGTTTAAACTCATCCTCTGGAGAAACCTGCTGGGGGTGAACCATAACAAAAGGTCCTGCAGTGGAGGAGTCCCAGATGGCACCCTATTCCCTATACAGTGCACTACTTTTGACCACGTTCCATAGGATTCTGGTCAATATTAGTGCACTATATAGGGAATTTGATTCCATTTGGGACAAACCCTGACAGTGTGTTTCCCTGAAGGCTGAAACTGCTAGTGCTGTCGTGCTGTGTTTGTTTCCATCAACAAAGAGACTAAAATGATCACTGTGATATCCATTTAGGGCAGTGTTAGGTTGGAGTGTGATACCAAGCTCCTCAGAAAGACTGCCTTTGGATGCTGGCTGGTATACGTTTGTTATCTCAGAGACTCCCTGTGGAGCTGGCTGGGTGAATTAAATCATTTGAATATAGCACACAGGGTCCCTTTGGTTACTGTCCAGCTAACAGGCTTTTTAAAAATCTCCATTGAATAGAATATGGATGGCCATGGCATTACGTTTCTGGACTTTACAGTTGGGTTTAAAACCACACTCGCACAAGCACTCTACAACAGTCTGTAGAAGTGCTTTAGCTGAAATTTGTGCTGACAGGATGTCCTGTCCCTCTGTGATACTCAGGCTGATGGGTCCTGTTCCCTCTGTGATACTCAGGCTGATGGGTCCTGTTCCCTCTGTGATACTCAGGCTGATGGGTCCTGTCCCTCTGTGATACTCAGGCTGATGGGTCCTGTTCCCTCTGTGATACTCAGGCTGATGGGTCCTGTCCCTCTGTGATACTCAGGCTGATGGGTCCTGTTCCTCTGTGATACTCAGGCTGATGGGTCCTGTCCCTCTGTGATACTCAGGCTGATGGGTCCTGTCCCTCTGTGATACTCAGGCTGATGGGTCCTGTCCCTCTGTGATACTCAGGCTGATGGGTCCTGTCCCTCTGTGATACTCAGGCTGATGGGTCCTGTCCCTCTGTGATACTCAGGCTGATGGGTCCTGTTCCTCTGTGATACTCAGGCTGATGGGTCCTGTGCCTCTGTGATACTTACTCAGGCTGATAGATACCTAATATGGTAATGCCTTTAGCTGTGCACCGATCCTAATAAAGGTAGTGAAAAGTTAAGCTATTCCAGGACTGAACTTGACAGCTTGATTCATAAGCATGGACCCTGAGCAGAGTTTGACAGCTTGATTCATAAGCATGGACCCTGAGCAGAGTTTGACAGCTTGATTCATAAGCATGGACCCTGAGCAGAGTTTGACAGCTTGATTCATAAGCATGGACCCTGAGCAGAGTTTGACAGCTTGATTCAGAGGCGTACCACACAAAATCTTGGCCATCAACGATGAGGCAGCAGCCTCTACTGAACAGTTTGGCTCAGTTTTCTGAATCTGCTCAATGATACAGTTGGCTAGATAATAACAGACTCTAGATAATAGAAAATAGTTATAGTCTATAAGGGACTTGTGTGTTAGTGATCATATAGTGCTTGTTTATTTCAGACTGTTTCACTGATGGGGGAAAAACTTGAAAATTGAAATGTACTTAACTGACGCTAACTCACTTGCTTTTCTCTCTCTCTCTCTGTTTCAGGGTGATGGCCGAGGGATAACCCCAAGGACTCTCAGCCCCTCCACCTCAACGTGACCCTGGTTCTCCCTTTTTATCTTATCCAAACACCCCTCTCCCCGTTTATCCAAACACCCCTCTCCCCGTTTATCCAAACACCCCTCTCCCCGTTTATCCAAACACCCCTCTCCCCGTTTTTTAGACTTTCCTTTTTTCTCAGTTTCCCCTCGCCCCAACTCGCTCTCCTGCTCCACTATTTCATGGAGGACAGCCAAGCCGATAACAACACACAGTTAGGTTACGCACGTCTCCACAGTCGGGTTACACGCGTCTCCATCTATGTCTCCGCAATAAAGGTTCTGGATCATTCTCTTGTCATGTTATCGATCACGCAAAATTATTGGATGAGTAGTAAGGATCATGTGATTGGACCTCTGTTCTCTCCACCCCTATTGGACAACGTCTTTTCATTCTCATCTTTTTGATTGGACCCTATTGGCTGTTTGTCACTTCAACACTGCCCCCCCTCAGCTGTAGTCTTTTACCTCACTGTAGTCCATCCTCTGATGTCATTGGGCCATGGTTCGCAAGAGAGGTTCCCTTATCTTGTGTGGAGCTTTCCTATTCGTCGCCTGCAATGGCTTGCTTCTCCTTTTCCTTTGGGGACGGACTCCCATTGGTCGCTTTGGGGAAGGGGGAGGGGCTGAACCAGGGGGGCGGGAAGAGTGGGGCGTGGCCAGAATTAAAAGGGGGTGGGACTAATCTGGCTGGCGAGGTGATCCGATTGGCCGAAGAGGTAGAATTGGAACTCAAGACCCAGAAGGAACTTCTGAAGCAGATCCAGAGTCACAGGTCACTATGGGAAAAGAGGAAAGAGATGGGAAAGAGAGAGACGGATGGAGGGAAAGTAGAAGAGGAAAGGGCAACACAAACTGTTGCCACGGTTACCTCCAGTACCCCCAAAGGACAATTCAGAGAACAAGGACCAAGAGAAAAATACACCGGAATTAATCATTACAGCAGTCCCAGACCCTAAAGTAGACACAAAACCGGACAATGAAATAAAAGAGCTGACCGACAACATCAAATTGGAAGTTACTGTCATCAACCCACAAGTTGTCATTCCCATATTGGTCATTGCCTGTGACAGAGTGAACTGTGAAAAGGAGTCTTGACAAATTGATCCAATACCGCACCTCTGCAGAACTCTACCCAATCATAGTTAGTCAGGACTGTGGCCATGCTGAGACAGCCCGCGTGATTGGCTCATATGGCAGTCAGGTGACCCTCATTAGCCAACCAGACCTCTCGGACATCCTGGTACGGCCGGAGCACAGGAAGTTCCAGGGCTACTATAAGATTGCCAGACACTACCGCTGGGCCCTCAACCAGGTGTTCAACACTCTCTCTTACTCCAGTGTGGTGATCGTTGAAGATGACTTGGAGGTAAGTGTGAACAGTAACTGAAATCCATACACCTCTGTCTGCATGCACTGTAACTGAGAAATGAATTTAAAGTGCACCTCAGTCTAAATGTGTTGAAGCGTTGATTTAGAAGTGTCTGAGTTGCTGGTGACTTGCACGAGGTTCAATAGAAGATCCTGATGAATTCAGTCAGGGAAATGAAATCCCTGCACTTCTGCTTGTCACCAAGGCATTGATGTGAAGCGTCAAGACTTTTTAGTGACTTGCATGAGGCTCTGTATAAGTAGGCCTAGTCCGAACTGATTTATCCGCTGCTGCTTTTTCAGTTGCAAGGTTTGCAGCTGCGCTCCAGCCCTGGCATTATCCCAAAAGCTTAAGGGTTCAGACACAGCAGTAGTGGTTGCTGGCCGAGAGTGCTTAGCACCTCTGAACGTATTTGCGAATCGAGTTCCAACCGATTTTACATGTAGAATCGCGTGAAAAATTTAGCCAGTCGGACGTCTACAGCGGGTGGTTCCTAAAACACAGCGCTGAATCAGCAGACAAACGCTAGATCCACATTCGGTGCGAGCCTTAACTTCTCTAAGGGCACCGACGACCCTGTGGCCTACAACAAAACATTTTAAGTGCTTCGTTTGCAGAACAAAGCTTAAACCAACCCCCCCCCCCCCCCCCCCCCCTGCCCCCCGCTCCGCTGCAGTGTCTAGAGATGCCATCCCTCTCTGCTTATTCAACACTTTCCATTGGTTTAAATGGGCCTTTGATAGGAATGGAATGAATGTACCCTGAACAAAAATGTAAACGCAACAATTTCAAAGATTTTACTGAGTTACAGTTCCTATAAGGAAATCAGTCAATTGAAATAAATTAATTCGGCCCTAATCTATCGATTTCACATGACTGGGAATACAGATATGCATATTTTGGTCACAGATACCTTTAAAAAAAAAGATAGGGGCTTGGATCAGAACCTGTCAGTATCTGGTGTGACCACCATTTGCCTCATGCGGGCGCGACACATCTCCTTCGCATAGAGTTGATCAGGCTGTTGATTGTGGCCTGTGGAATGTTGTCCCACTCCTCTTCAATGGCTGTGTGAAGTTGCTGGATATTGGCAGGAACTGGAGCACGCTGTCGTACACTGCGATCCAGAGCATCCCAAACATGCTCAATGGGTGACATGTCTGGTGAGGATGCAGGGACATTTTCAGCTTCCAGGAATTGTGTACAGATCCTTGCGACATGGGGACGTACATTATCATGCTGAAACAAGAGGTGATGGCGGCGGATTAATGGCCCGACAATGGGCCTCAGGATCTCGGGCCTCTGGACCATCAATAAAATGCAATTGTGTTCGTTGTCCGTAGTTTATGCCTGCCCATACCATAACCCCACCGCCACCATGGGGCACTCGGTTCACAATGTTGACATCAGCAAACCGTTCCCCCACACGACGACATACACGCTGTCTGCCATCTGCCCGGTACAGTTGAAACCGGTAGTCATCTGTGACGAGCACACTTCTCTAGTGTGCCAGTGGCCATCGAAGGTGAGCATTTGCCCACTGAAGTCGGTTACGACGCCAAACTGCAGTCAGGTCAAGACCCTGGTGAGGATGACGAGCACGCAAATGAGCTTCCCTGAGACGTTTCTGACAGTTTGTGCAGAAATTATTCGCTTGTGCAAACCCACAGTTTCATCAGCTGTCCGGGTGCCTGGTCTCAGACAATCCGACAGGTGAATAAGCTGGATGTGGAGGTCCTGGGCTGGCGTGGTTACACGTGGTTACACGTGGTCTGTGGTTGTGAGGCCGGTTGGACGTACTGCCAAATTCTCTACAACAACGTTGGAGGTGGTTTATGGTAGAGAAATGAAAATTTCAATTCCCTGGCAACAGCTCTGGTGGACATTCCTGCAGTCAGCATGCCAATTGCATGCCCCCTCAAAACTTGAGATCTGTGGCATTGTGTTGTGTGACAAAACTGCACATTTTCGTGGCCTTTTATTGTCCCCAGCACAAGGTGCACCTGTGTAATGATCATGCTGTTTAATCAGCTTCTTGATATGCCACACCTGTCAGGTGGATGGATTATCTTGGCAAAGGAGAAATGCTCACTAACACGGATTTAATCACATTTGTGCACAACCTTTTCGAGAAATAAGCATTTTGTGCATATGGAAAATGTCTGGGATCTTTTTACTTCAGCTCATGAAACATGGGACCAACACTTTACATGCTGTGTTTATATTTTTCTTCAGTGTAATTAAATCTGTCTCACATTCAAATGTGGATCATGATGATGAACGTTGATCCTATAATGTTCCTCATTTGTGCAGCACATTCATTGGATAGCCTAAAACATAGAGGGGAGGAGTCAGAGGAGGGTACAGAGGGGAGGAGTCAAAGGGGTGAACAGAGGGGAACAGAGAGGGGAAATGTCTTAATCAATGTGTCCAATTCAGTGGACAGCTGTAATCCTGGTTGGCCTTCCCAGATTAGAACATTTAACTGATTAGTGGATTAACCACGTTGGCACCTAGCAGAGAGGGGTGTGAGGAGGGATCCCTAAATCCTGCTCTGTTCATTCTGTCCCCCATCAAATCAGACCAAGGTTGCGTCCCAAATGGCACCCTGTGGGCCATAGGGTTCTGGTCTAAAGTAGTGCACTACATAGGGAATAGGGTTCTGGTCTAAAGTAGTGCACTATATAGGGAATAGGGTTCTGGTCTAAAGTAGTGCACTATATAGGGAATAAGGTTCTGGTCTAAAGTAGTGCACTATATAGGGAATAGGGTTCTGGTCTAAAGTAGTGCACTACATAGGGAATAGGGCTCTGGTCTAAAGTAGTGCACTACATAGGGAATAGGGCTCTGGTCTAAAGTAGTGCACTATATAGGGAATAGGGTGCCATTTGGGTAGTAGCCTGAGTGAAACAGCCAGCTGGGTGAACAAATGGTCTGGAAAAAAACGTTATCGGTAGAATTCTGCACCAGACGTGTAATGAAAGTTACAGGAAATGGTTAAAACAACAGAACTGCCATGAGTCACCAGTTTTAAAGCTTTTAGGCTAAACCCCCCCCCCCCCCCCCCCCCCACCACACACTTATGTAACTGTTCCCGCAGATGCTTTCGAAGACAAATTTATAATGTTTTGTTTTGGCTAGTCATTTCATGTTGACATACCATTGGCATTGTATTAATCAGCCACACATGTTGGACTCATTCCTTGAAGCCCCTGTGGATGTTTTGTTGGCTTTGCATACATTCATACAGCAGATGCAGTTTTCTAGCCTGGGTTCCAGTCTGTTTCTGGTCTCTTTTAATATAGCCTGGATACTAGTCTGTTTCTGGTCTCTTTTAATATAGCCTGGATACCAGTCAGTTTCTGGTCTCTTTTAATATAGCCTGGATACCAGTCAGTTTCTGGTCTCTTTTAATATAGCCTGGATACCAGTCAGTTTCTGGTCTCTTTTAATATAGCCTGGATACCAGTCTGTTTCTGGTCACTTTAATATAGCCTGGATACCAGTCAGTTTCTGGTCTCTTTTAATATAGCCTGGATACCAGTCAGTTTCTGGTCTCTTTTAATATAGCCTGGATACCAGTCAGTTTCTGGTCTCTTTTAATATAGCCTGGATACCAGTCTGTTTCTGGTCACTTTAATATAGCCTGGATACCAGTCAGTTTCTGGTCTCTTTTAATATAGCCTGGATACCAGTCAGTTTCTGGTCTCTTTTAATATAGCCTGGATACCAGTCAGTTTCTGGTCTCTTTTAATATAGCCTGGATACCAGTCAGTTTCTGGTCTCTTAATATAGCCTGGATACCAGTCAGTTTCTGGTCTCTTTTAATATAGCCTGGATACCAGTCAGTTTCTGGTCTCTTTTAATATAGCCTGGATACCAGTCAGTTTCTGGTCTCTTTTAATATAGCCTGGATACCAGTCAGTTTCTGGTCTCTTTTAATATAGCCTGGATACCAGTCTGTTTCTGGTCTCTTTAATATAGCCTGGATACCAGTCTGTTTCTGGTCACTTTAATATAGCCTGGATACCAGTCTGTTTCTGCTCTTTTGCCAACTCCTTATTATGTTTAGCATGACAAGGAGGTGAAACAATGGCACAAACAGATCTGGGCCCAGGCTAGCAGTTTTCAGTTATCATAAATAAACTCAGCAAAAAAAGTAACGTCCCCTCCCTGTCAACTGCGTTTTATTTTCAGCAAACTTAACATGTGTAAATATTTGTATGAACATAACAAGATTCAACAACTGAGACATAAACTGAACAAGTTCCACAGACATGTGACTAACAGAAATGGAATAATGTGTCCCTGAACAAAGGGGGGGTCAAAATCAAAAGTAACAGTCAGTATCTGGTGTGACCACCAGCTGCATTAAGTACTGCAGTGCATCTCCTCCTCATGGACTGCACCAGATTTGCCAGTTCTTGCTATGAGATGTTACCCCACTCTTCCACCAAGGCACCTGCAAGTTCCCTGACATTTCTGGGGGGAATGGCCCTAGCCCTCACCCTCCGATCCAACAGGTCCCAGACGTGCTCAATGGGATTGAGATCCGGGCTCTTCGCTGGCCATGGCAGAACACTGACATTCCTGTCTTGCAGGAAATCACGCACAGAACGAGCAGTATGGCTGGTGGCATTGTCATGCTGGATGGTCATGTCAGGATGAGCCTGCAGGAAGGGTACCACATGAGGGAGGAGGATGTCTTCCCTGTAACGCACAGCGTTGAGATTGCCTGCAATGACAACAAGCTCAGTCCGATGATGCTGTGACACACCGCCCCAGACCATGACGGACCCTCCACCTCCAAATCAATCCCACTCCAGAGTACAGGCCTCGGTGTAACGCTCATTCCTTTGACGATAAACGCGAATCCGACCATCACCCCTGGTGAGACAAAACCGCGACTCGTCAGTGAAGAGCACTTTTTGTCAGTCCTGTCTGGTCCAGCGACGGTGGGCTTGTGCCCATAGGCGACGTTGTTGCCGGTGATGTCTGGTGAGGACCTTGGGCAGTTGTTGTTGCCATCCTGTACCTGTCCCGCAGGTGTGATGTTCGGATGTACCGATCCTGTGCAGGTGTTGTTACACGTGGTCTGCCACTGCGAGGACGATCAGGTGTCCGTCCTGTCTCCCTGTATCTCTGTCTTAGGCGTCTCACAGTACGGACATTGCAATTTATTGCCCTGGCCACATCTGCAGTCCTCATGCCTCCTTGCAGCATGCCTAAGGCACGTTCACGCAGATGAGCAGGGACCCTGGGCATCTTTCTTTTGGTGTTTTTCAGAGTCCGTAGAAAGGCCTCTTTAGTGTCCTAAGTTTTCATAACTGTGACCTTAATTGCCTACCGTCTGTAAGCTGTTAGTGTCTTAACGACCGTTCCACAGGTGCATGTTCATTAATTGTTTATGGTTCATTGAACAAGCATGGGAAACAGTGTTTAAACCCTTTACAATGAAGATCTGTGAAGTTATTTAGATTTTTACGAATGATCTTTGAAAGACAGGGACCTGAAAAAGGGACGTTTCTTTTTTTCCTGAGTTTAGTAATGTAGGCTACTGTATATACTGAATAACAATTGCTTCTTATAACTGGAGGAAAGCCTACTCTCTAAGTTATCTCACTGTAACACAGTTTACTAATCAGATGAATCTCTCTCCAAGGTGGCCCCAGACTTCTTTGAGTACTTCCGTGCCCTCCACCCCATCTTGACCTCTGACCCCACCCTGTGGTGTGTGTCTGCCTGGAACGACAACGGCAGGGAGGGGCTGGTGGACCCTGGGAAGGCGGACCTCCTCTACAGGACAGACTTCTTCCCTGGGCTGGGCTGGATGCTGTTGAAGGACGTCTGGGACGAACTAGAACCCAAGTGGCCCGCAGCCTTCTGGGACGACTGGATGCGTCACCCTGAGCAGCGTAAGGAGCGCTCCTGCATCCGCCCAGAGATCTCCAGAACTATAACCTTCGGACGCAAGGGTGTCAGCTTGGGTCAGTTCTTCGACCAGTACCTGCGCTACATTATACTCAACACTGACTTTGTGCCTTTCACCAAACAGGATCTGTCTTACTTGATGAAGGAGAACTTTGACGTGAACTTTGTGAAGCAGGTTTACAGCGCCCCCCTAATTAAGGTGGAGGAGCTACAGCAAGGGGGCGGTTTGAGTGGAACAGGTCCGTACCGGGTGCAATATTCCAGCCGGGACAGTTTTAAGGTTCTGGCCCGACACTTAGGGGTGATGGATGACTTGAAATCGGGGGTTCCCCGTGCGGGTTACAGGGGCGTGGTCAGCTTCCTGTCCCGTGGACGACGGGTCTTCTTGACCCCACCTGAGGGATGGACAAAGTACGACGTCAGCTGGAGCTGAGAGGTTTGGACAGGACGTAGTGCGAGACAGACAGACAGACAGACTTGACAGAGAGGAACACCCTCTCTAACCAAAGAAAACAAAAACAAGGTCACATGAAGGAACTGAAGCTAAACAAAACAGACAGGCTTGGTGGGTAAAGGAACTGGATATATGATAGAAGTAGGGTGGGTGGAGGAGAGGAGTAACGCCTTGTTTTAGGAGTGAACCTGAATGCAGTGTGACACAGGGCAACACCCAGGGAGTGAAACCACGTAGTAAGTCTCAAAGAAAGAAAGAAAGAAAGAACCATTTAATGTTTGGTTGTTCTCCTGCTCGAGCTGGAAAGGTTTACGGTAGGGGTGTCAAACTCATTCCATGGAGGGCCGAGTGTCCGCTGGTTTTTGGTGTTTTCCTTCTAATTAAGACCTAGACAACCAGGTGTGGGGAGTTCCTTACTAATCAGTGATCTGAATTCCTCAATCAAGGACAAAGAAGGAGCGAAAACCCGCAGACACTCGGCCCTCTGTGGAATGAGTTTGACACGTGGTTCACGGTTTGCTTCAACGTGATGTCTTAAAACGTCAGTTTGATTACATGGATTTGGAGGCCTCAGACTTGCTTTTTGTGTTGTTCCGTGTCACCCGATCTTAAAGGGGAGGCGAAACCCCTCTGCTTAAGTCCAAAATGGCACCCTTTTCCCCATTTTAGTGCCCTACTTTTGACCAGGAACCATAGGGCTCTGGTCAAAAGTAGTGCACTATATAGGGAGCCATTTGGGACGGCCTCTGTCTACTTTAAAATAACTTGCAGTATTCCACGCAAAATCAATGAATGAGGTCAAAATATTAGTTACTGGTATTAAACTTTTCTCATAAATATATAATTAGATTTATTCATAAAATGAAAAAGTACAAATACTATTTTGGGAATGATGTAGCTCTTGTAAATTGGTTTATAAAGAGATGATCCTACAAATAAATGATCAGAGATTCATACATCGCCATGCAGCGGGCCAGTTTAACACATTGTGTGTGACATTCTGTTGACTGTATCCCAAATGGCACCCTATTCCCTATATAGTGCACTACCTTTGACCAGAACCCTATGGGCCATGGTCAAAAGAAGTGCACTATAAAGGGAAGTGTGCCATTTGAGACGGTACTACACTTAAGCCATTTTCAAAATTAATGGTCGGTTGTAATTCCATGACATTCAAATGGTGGTCTTCTACAGTTAGGTTTGTTGAAAAACCAATGATTACGATTGTTTACATGTTTGTTTTTTCTTGATTTACATGATTGGTGTAACTGGGTGATACATGAAGAAAAGGGTGATTTATTAATGTACTGGATTTAGTTCTCGGGTGATTGATTGTCTGGAAGATTGATTCATATGTCTTTATGGTGATGTGTAAAAACCACTGCCTGACGTGTTTATAACTTGAATACGTTGCAAATTAAAACTGACTATTTTGATATTTGTCCACATCCATTGTGTGTCTTATCTTTTGAGTGTCAGCTAATGTTATTGGATCTGGGTTTTATTGTTCCTGGTCATTTTCCAACAATCGTTTCCCACTTGTGCCTGTAACCTCTACGTGCGTCACAAATGGCACCCTATTCCTTTATGGGGCTATATATGGAGCCATTCAGTCTAGGCTATCCCTCCTCACTTCCTTTCGAGTGCACTCTTCTCCTGTTGACTTCCTGACAGGTCTCGCTTACTGTTTCACAAACACTGGTCTGATTTTAACACTTTACAATCCAGATTAGAAGAGATCAACTGAGGTGCCTCAGCAAGCAGATTTAGACGAGAAGACCATTGAGGACAGTATTTAAGACTATTGGCCGATCAACTGTGATTCCCTGAAAATATTTGCTAACTCAAAGACTTATGTCCATAGTCTCTCTGGGCCATCATTCCAAATCAAGCTGGAGTGTCCGAGGCTAGTTAGCTCAATACCTCAGTTTAGTACATTTTATATGAAATTATTTAGCATTTTGCACATTACTTATATAGATTAGCTAAGTTGAGGCATGGACAGACCTGTAGGATTGTCGAGCAGTTAGCACCTCTGAACAGAATACCTGCCATAATTTGAAAACCGATTTCTAAATTTAGAAACGGGAGAAAATGACGGCGGGTGGTCCCAACAACGCACTGCGCTGACATAATAGGTCTGGTCGAGGTTTCTGCTTTAGGCTAAGGCTACTGTATTTCATCGTGTAGCAGCTGGCATGACAGCCTGATCTCACTAGCTGTTTAAAATGCGTCCCAAATGGCACCCTATTCCCTATGTAGTGTACTACTTCCAGTATGTCCACGTCCCATAGGGAATAGGGTGCCATTTGGGACCAACCTTTGATGGAGGCTGTTTCAATATTCACTCAGTGCAATCCTTGGCGGGTAGTTTGGTCCTTTTTTTATATATTTTCTGACAGACAACAAGATTTAGATGTTGAGGCAAGAAGAAGCAGCAAGTCTGTATGTCGAGTCAAACATTTATGAATCCACATTGAGTGCAGAACAGAGCTCGTTTAGTCTATCTTTACAAGTCTTTCAATGTAACCTTTTTTCCTCTTCATTTCCGTCGCACTAGAAACTACCGCTTGGTAACTGGTCAACTATTTTCACAGGCAATAAAATGCAGCATTCACCATCGAAATGACATCGTAAATAAAATACAAACAATAAATAACTCAACTATTCAGTGACGGCTACCTAGTCTCTAAATAAAAACAAAATAATATTAACATCATTAAACAAATGGCATTGGAAAAGGCCTGACAATGTTCAGAAAAGTCATTTCTATCCACAGGGGGGCGCTATTCCACAGTTTATTCATTATAGGGGCAAATGAATGCCAGCAGAATAAGAAATTATTGTATTGTACTGTTCGATCTGATAATAGTTGATTTGACCTTAGCTATCAGTGTTAAAGGTCAAAGGTAAAATATAAATCACAATTCTGATGCAATGTCTGCAGGATAATAGATCTGGTCTTCTTTACCGGGTTGGTTCAACTGAGGGCACAGAAGTAAAAAAGGACAAGTTAAAGCAGAACATTCATTGAATCACTTGATAATCTTCTCTACTCCACTGATGAAATACAGATGTTCCTAACATAATACATGTTCTAATAAGTAACAGATGACCAGCAAAGACCGCTGCCTTTACTCTAGAGCAGTGTTTCCCAAACTCGGTCCTGGGGCCCCACTGGGTGCACGTTTTGGTTTTTGCGCTAGTGTCATGCTGGGGGGTGGGGGGGGGGGGGGGGCAGAACCGAGTTTGGGAAACCCTTCTCTAGAGCCTTCAAACTCAACTCTGGACCTCGAAGCCAGTTCCTCTGCATTTTTTCATTGTTCCCCTCTAATCAGTGACTGATTTAGACCTGTGACACCAGGTGGTGTAATTAATTAAACAGGTAGAACAGAAAAGCAGCAGGCTCCGGACCTCGTAGGGTCAGAGTTGAACAGAAAAGCAGCAGGCTCCGGACCTCGTAGGGTCAGAGTTGAACAGAAAAGCAGCAGGCTCCGGACCTCGTAGGGTCAGAGTTTAACAGAAAAGCAGCAGGCTCCGGACCTCGTAGGGTCAGAGTTTAACAGAAAAGCAGCAGGCTCCGGACCTCGTAGGGTCAGAGTTTAACAGAAAAGCAGCAGGCTCCGGACCTCGTAGGGTCAGAGTTGAACAGAAAAGCAGCAGGCTCCGGACCTCGTAGGGTCAGAGTTGAACAGAAAAGCAGCAGGCTCCGGACCTCGTAGGGTCAGAGTTTAACAGAAAAGCAGCAGGCTCCGGACCTCGTAGGGTCAGAGTTGAACAGAAAAGCAGCAGGCTCCGGACCTCGTAGGGTCAGAGTTGAACACCCCCTGATCTAGACCCACTGATAACCAAGGCTGATGATTGGAACTAAGCAGCACTTACTGTAAGATGAGATGTCGATCTCGTCGGGCAGCTCGCTGATGTTCACCTCGAATCGGTCCTGGACGTCGTTAAGGGTGCGGGCATCCGTCTCATCAGACACAAACGTGATGGCCAGGCCTTTGGTGCCAAACCTGCCCGCCCTGGCAACCTGAGTAAGACACAAACAACTTAGAGGGTTTTATAACTAAGTAACCTTATAATGACCCTGGCTGCTACTGGTAAGTACTTTATAACTAAAGTAACCTTATAATGACCCTGGCTGCTACTGGTAAGTACTTTATAACTAAGTAACCTTATAATGACCCTGGCTGCTACTGGTAAGTACTTTATAACTAAGTAACCTTATAATGACCCTGGCTGCTACTGGTAAGTACTTTATAACTAAAGTAACCGTATAATGACCCTGGCTGCTACTGGTAAGTACTTTATAACTAAAGTAACCTTATAATGACCCTGGCTGCTACTGGTAAGTACTTTATAACTAAAGTAACCTTATAATGACCCTGGCTGCTACTGGTAAGTACTTTATAACTAAAGTAACCTTATAATGACCCTGGCTGCTACTGGTAAGTACTTTATAACTAAAGTAACCTTATAATGACCCTGGCTGCTACTGGGAAGTACTTTATAACTAAAGTAACCTTATAATGACCCTGGCTGCTACTGGTAAGTACTTTATAACTAAAGTAACCTTATAATGACCCTGGCTGCTACTGGTAAGTACTTTATAACTAAAGTAACCTTATAATGACCCTGGCTGCTACTGGTAAGTACTTTATAACTAAGTAACCTTATAATGACCCTGGCTGCTACTGGTAAGTACTTTATAACTAAAGTAACCTTATAATGACCCTGGCTGCTACTGGTAAGTACTTTATAACTAAGTAACCTTATAATGACCCTGGCTGCTACTGGTAAGTACTTTATAACTAAGTAACCTTATAATGACCCTGGCTGCTACTGGTAAGTACTTTATAACTAAAGTAACCTTATAATGACCCTGGCTGCTACTGGTAAGTACTTTATAACTAAGTAACCTTATAATGACCCTGGCTGCTACTGGTAAGTACTTTATAACTAAGTAACCTTATAATGACCCTGGCTGCTACTGGTAAGTACTTTATAACTAAAGTAACCTTATAATGACCCTGGCTGCTACTGGTAAGTACTTTATAACTAAAGTAACCTTATAATGACCATGGCTGCTACTGGTAAGTACTTTATAACTAAGTAACCTTATAATGACCCTGGCTGCTACTGGTAAGTACT